ATCAGGGTAAAAGCACAGCACGGCGCAGTAGAGCCCAGTGAGATCAGGGTAAAAGCACAGTACAGCGCAGTAGAGCCCAGTGAGATCATGATAAAAGCACAGTACAGCGCAGTAGAGCCCAGTGAGATCAGGTTATCTGATTTACAAACTGTGCTAACGTCGTGTTAACACGGGTTCAGGGACGAAAACTACCGGCAGTTTCTACCTCGTTCGGCAGTTTTTATCATCCAGTCGAAAGACAATAAAACGAAAGACTGAGCACTTTATTTCTTAAAGACCGAGGCGAACTAATGCCGTTTTAACGTCTTTCCAGGTGTTATTGTCACACCCGGACAAAAGCAGTACTGTGCCTGACGCGCCCTGAGACTGTGAACAGACCCACCCAGCAACACAAACTGCTTGTGGGTGTGTGTGGGTGTGTTGGGGGGGGTTATTTCCCATCTTTCCAGACTATCAGCATTTACCCAGCGCGAGAGGGGTGTGAGATTACGGCCAACCTTTTACCCGAAACGTGGAAGCGCAGGCCGAGCCGGGGAGGGAAGGTTTCGTTTGGGGGAAAAGGAAAGTTAACCTTCGGCACGCATCTGTCCCGCGGGCAGCCGGCGGGGGAAAACTCCCGCCCGCATCCCGATGGGATCACTCGAGCTCCGCGGAGCTCAATCGAAATAGATCTGGAATTTTAAAACAAAACAACAACAACAACAACAACATTCCTATTTCCTGTTAGTTTCACTTTTCATTTCAGCAGGAAACGAAACTGCTGCGATCAGCTTTAGAAAAGACGATGGAGGGGGGAGTCTTTTTAATGTGAAGAGTTAATTTTTAAGTAATAAAATATATATATGCATATAAATATATACACACCAACGCTGTCCTCCCAGTGCTGGTGACAATCGAGCGGAAACGGAGCCGAGGCGTGAGCCGGTGTCGGTCTGCACGGGAGCACGGGCGACGCTGATTGGCTCGGCGTGGGGGGGGAGGGGTCACGCCCATCGTCACCTTGACTCAATGGACGATGTGTTTTATTTCCCCCAGAGCATGTGGTTTCCGCTGTGCTGCTCGATATATTTGCTGCTGCTGCTCTTCTTCTTCTTCTTCTTCTGGTTTGTAAAGTAGCGAGCGTCGATTGACAGAAGGCGAAGCTGGGTTTAGGAAGAACTGAAGGTTTGTTCCACGCCGGAAATAAAGAGATGACGGGACAGGACGGCGATGGGAGATCGGGCCAGGACACCGGAGTAACACCTCTTACCCTCTTCTCGAGAAACGCCCTGGAACCTTTAATGAGCACGGAACGTCAGGACAACAGTCACGGACAGTCTCGGTTTCACCTCTCACCCACAAGAGAGCCCCCTTTTACAGTATAGTGTCCCCATCACTATAGTGAGGCATTAGACCCACACAGACTGCAGGGTGGTCCCCCGACACCCCAACTGGTCCCCCAAACATCATCAGCAGCACCTGGGGCGGAGTGGTGGCTCTGTGGCTTAGGATCTGTGCCAGTGGCTGGGAGGTTGCAGGTTTGAATCCGGCAGCCGGTGGAGGGACCCTACTCTGTTGGGCCCCCGAGCAAGGCCCTTAACCCCAGCTGCTCCAGGGGCGCTGTATAAATGGCTGACCCTGCGCTCTGGCCCCCAGCTTCTCTCTCCCTGTCTGTGTGTCTCATGGAGAGCAAGCTGGGGTCTGCGAAGAGACACATTCCTAATACCAGAAATTGTGTATGGCCGATAAAGTGATCTGATCTTATCCAGCAGCAGCCTGGAATTAAATCATTAAGACCTGGCGTTCAGGAGAAATCCCCTGGCTTTCCTCAGTGTGCACTCTGTGACAGGCAAGTCTCCCTTATACCTGTGGCCCTAACCCGGCTTGATTGTGTTGTATATGTGTTGTCGATGGGGACTGTTGGCGTGCTCTCCAAATTTTCATTTGTTTTCATTCGCCTTGTTTGGCAAGGCCAGTCTGCACACCCAGTGCTTATTCTGTTCGATACTAGAGAAAAAGATAAAAGAATACCCTTCCTCTATTTATCTGAGTGAGTGAGTTTGCCCTCCTACCGTCTGGGAAAAGAGATGGCAGTGGGCGGGCCAGCTCCCCCCCGACTCTGGAACAGCTTCTTCCTGCAGGCTGGCGGGCTCCTCCACACCCTGGAATCTGCCTGCCCGCACCCCAGTTCCAGAAACAGGGTTTAAATCCCCCCCGCCCCACGGTGTGTTGTGTAGATTGTATTATGCATTTGCCTTGTAATTTGCACTGTCTGCACTTTGCACTGTGTGTAGCCCGTCTACGATGTCTGTGTCCGTGTCCTGTCTGTATCTGCACCGCGGACGGGGAGGACCGATCTTCCGTTCCGCTGTGTGCTTGTATACGGCTCGAAAGACAAATAAACGTGAACTTGAGCATGAGGAGCGGTTACTATCCCTGGGATAGGGACTACAATGTTGCAGATGTGTTGCGGACCTCTGTGACTGTACATCGTGCTTTCTTAGGCTAAAAATACTTAAAAAAAAATAAATCAGACATTAAAAGATCCAATTAAATTCCCAATAATGTTTTCGTTCTAAAGTTGGCAATTTAAGATCGACGTGCACCCGTGCTATCCGAAGGCGTAACAGCAAAACCGTTTGACGGAAATAAAAAAAAATGATATTTTTAAATGTTGATTTCGGGGTCCACCTGCTCAAGCTTTTGTTCTCCGCCAATCAGACGCCGGGGTGCTAGGCCCTCCTCCCGCTCACTGTCCATTGGCTGGCCGAGCCGAGGGACGCTCTCTATTGGCTGGCGGTGGGGGGCGGGCCTCGCGTGGAAGCGCTGGGGGTGGGAAGGGCTAGGCGGGCGCGAGAGCATTGGAGCGAGATCGTCGGTGGCGTCGAGTTAATTGGAAGCGCGAATTGTAATTAAAATTATTGTAAAATATTGACGGAGAGGAAGACGAGGCCGACTCGACGGACGGACGAAAAACAGGTAAAGAAACGCGTTTCTTCAAATAAACAAACCAGCTCCCACGGGCGGGATGATAGTTTTTAAAAAAACGATTTAATTGAGAGACGCCAAGCGGCGTTCGGTGACCAGGCCTCCCGCCGCGCCAGCGGGCCTGGTTTGAGTCTGGACCCGCGGTGAAGCCGAGCTCCCCGGGCGGAGGGCTGGAGGCTCAGCGGCCCGGCCGGGTTCTGCTGCGGCCGGGCCGCCGAGGGAGCGGGCCCCGGCTCGGCTGCTCCTGAGCCCACGGCCCCCGGGCCCGACCTTGACCCCGGCCCGGCCTCTCCGCCTCCCCTGGACCCGGCGCGTCCCGTCCGAGAGGTGCAGGCAGGGAGCTGCGTCAGCAGGCGAGGCTGCAAAGGTACAGGAAAGTTGATTTTCTGCTGAAAAGAGAATGAATCCGTAGGAATCCGAATGTTACGGGTTTTAACTCGGGACTAAAACCCGGATTAGTTGGGCGTTGCGTTAGTTTGCACCATGTTCTATTTTCGACCTCTTTTAGCTCGGGTTTCTGTTTGGTTTTGTTATTCTTGTGCGCAGTCCGAACTGGTAGAGAGGGGGAGAGTTTATTTGCCGTTTGTCCGTGTTTTGGTTGGGGTTCGTGTGTTTGAGGCGTTGTCTCTGGCCGTGCGCGGTGCAGTAGACGAGGGGGGGCCCTGCCGGGCCTGGTTTAATTGCAGCTCCTCCAGCGCCATGGGCAGGGGGCCAGTTCCCAGTTCCACTGGAGTCGGTCTGATGGGGCTCTTTTTGTGGGGCGGCGTTATTTCAGGACTCAGGGCGGCTTCTATTGATCATTAAACCTTGAAGCAACAGGTTACTCATCACCAATGTTTTCTAGAAATCTCTCTATGAAACGGACTCGGTTCATCCTGCAGAATCCTTCCCAGCCATGGCCCCAACAGCACAGTCCAGTAAAGCAAACTGAGACAAAACAGTGCTCAATTGCCCAGCTCCTGCTTCCTCCTCTCATGGGT